AATTTTAAAAATGTGCACTTAAATATGCATAATAAACAATTAGAATTGAATATTATGTGTTTAGTAGGTTAGCAACCTCAAAATAGCCATCTTTAACTTCTACATGCTATGGGTAAAGTCGTTGGGGACTATTGTTTGATATGGCATGACAGTTCTATAACACAGACTTGGAACGCTGACATTGTTTTGTCATTTTCTTCATCATGTAAATATTTAGATAATGATAAAATGACAATTCTTAAAAATGTCAAAGTCCAGCTAGATGTATAATTTCTTTCCTTCTTTTATAGTAAGTACAGGATTCAAACCTCATAGTTTTGACAATATACTATAATTATTTGGCATGTAATATAACAGAATGTTATATCTACAAAATGTTAGTATAGCATGATTAGTAGATACCAAATTAAAGATGGCCATAGTACTACAACTAGCATGCCATATTAGTCGACAGCAAATAAGTATGATAATGATTCAATAAGCATACTCTTCACGTTAAACTTCATGTATGTGCCTATAGAATAATCTTGATAGCCCTTTTCTAAAGTTCTTTGAATCCTATTCAGGTATGCTAAAACCTCATAAGCTACAAGCATGCAAAAAAGGTATGACGAAAATACAACTATTACCTAATGAAAGTAGTGGGAAGACTAAATTTCTAATGCACCACATTGCACTACTGGTTAAGCTTCAAAATTGGAAGTAGAGGAAATAAGAACAATGCATAAGACTGATGTTGTTAATTGGTACAACATATATCTGAGATCATCATCTCCAAAGTATCACCAATTTATTGTTCATGTATGGGCCTATAATGTCAGCAAACATGAAGGAGTCATGAAAAATGATGAGTTTGGAAAAGTAATTAGAGATATTGATTCCTTTAAAAGAGGATCTGAATTTTACTCTAACCTCTCTTGACATGCATCATGGACTGCTAATCACTTGAAGACCTTCAAATTCTTGAGAACTTTTAGGTATTTATTCACAAATTCAGAACTTTAAGGTTGTTCATGGAAAAGGGTTTTCTAAATGGAATTATTTTGACATGCTAAAATTTTCTATCAATATCTTAAAATTTATTTAACTCAAGTGTTATTGTTAGATCTCTTTTGGAATATTTTTACTAATATTTTACATCCAAAAAGAAAGGACAATGAATCCTTGTAGAAAGGGAAGCTTGTACACATAGGTTCATCTAAATAAAAGGTGGCCTTTTTTAAGAAGCATCTTCTCTCAATTAATTTGTTTGCTTTCTTAAACACATGAATTTATTAATGTAAAAAAAGTTTTATGATGTAGTTAAATAGTTAGATTGACTAACAAAGTGATTCAAAAAATTATTCCAATATCCCCTTTTAGCATCATTTATTTGGAGTTTATATATATATATATATACATTCCTTTTTTGTTGGAGATACCAACTCTTATAATGCTTGTGTAGAAGGTGAAAGGGAGATTAAAGTCATCACATAAACTTTAGTGTTTTCAAAAGAGTGATTACATGGATCCTGATCAAGGTCTTTGTCTTGGTGCCCTATTTGATATTGCTGCAATGAATGTAGCCTCTATGTTAACAAATCTTTCTGTTTACTCTGTAATATGGTATTTGGCTGACAAATTATATTATCATTTTTAGTTTAGGGACTTGACATAGGAAGAAGACTATATATGCATTCTTGGCTTTTGCTGGTCCATTGAAATGCTAAGTGATATTGTTGAAGACAGTGTACTAGAACATGGAGGAGAGGTAACTTGAGAGACACATTATAATGCATAGTTGTGTTTGAAACTGGTATCATTGTTCTTGCTATTAGTCATATTGTATAAAATTATGCAGAGTATGCGTGCGTTAATTCATTTCTTATCATTATTGTTGGCCTTCTTGTTTTGATGATGATTTACAAACAATTTACTACTAATGTTGTTTGTCTAGTGTTTGTGCATTCCTATGTTTTGTAGACAAACAACGTTGTTGGAGGATGGATGGAATAGAGCTTCAACGATCATATCCAAAGGAGGTTGGCGGAATATCGGTGAAGCCTTGCTATTCAAAGTTCAAGATCCAAGTTAAAGCTTCATCCGCGAGATTACCTAGAAGAGCTTATTGAAGATCAAGATCTAGCTTGGGTAATTTAGTTTAGGATTTATATTATGTGTGTTATATACTCTAAGCTCAATTATCTATACACACACATTTATTGGTTTCTTCGTATATATATATATAGTCATATATATATATAAGTTTTAGTTTCTATGCATATATATAGTTATATATATACATACATATGTTTTGAGTTTTTATGGTTATATATATGAAATTCTATATTTCATATTTTCTATTATATTTTTGAAAACATTGCATAGAATATGCAATTTTGTGAAAATATTGTATTCTTAGTTTATAGACTTCAATATCAGTTTATACATGTTTTACTAAGTCTAAAAAAACATTTCACAAAGTTTCAAAAGTTGGTTTATGTCAAAACATCAAAATTCAAGTATCTCATATTTTCATGTTTTGGACTAGTTTGTAAAATGATGATATTTTTCATTTGGGAAGTCCTTTTTGATAACCAGTCATTGTAGCATGTTTATTATCATGTCTACAATCATTCCCCAAAGTTTTACATTTTTTGGAATTTATTTGATATTTTTAAACAGGGTTTTAAAATCAGCTCTAAAACCGATTTTTTCTGGAATGTCAGTTTTCGGTCGACCGGTACGGTCGACCGGTCAATTGACCATTCGTCAGTATTTTTCCAGAGAGTCATCGGTCGACCGGTCCGGTCGACCGAGGTCGACCGACAAAAGAGCCGTTGGCTCCTAACGGCTATTTCCTGAGCAGATTTCTGGGGGCTGTTTTGTCATTTGTTTTGGTGTTTTTGCTGAGATTTCTAGTGGGTATATATACCCCATTGCTGATGTCTTTTCAAACTGATTAAGAGAGTTTTAAAAACAAGTTTAAGAAAGTTTTAAACAAGGGTTTGAGTTTGTTTAGTTTGTTTTTGGGGTTTGCTGTTACAAAGAGGAGTTTGCATCACCAGTTGAGGATTTCATCCTCAAAATCTTCTCATCCTCTCTTTGTGTTTATAGAGAAGTTTTCTAACTCTTTTCCCTAGCAATTTCATTATTGATTTATCATATATTAATTATTGCTAGTTTGCTAGTTGAGTTAGATTTCATTTTACTCATTGTTACACACACCCACATTGAGCTTTTAGTATTTACATACATAGTATAGTTGGGTGGTGAGAGTTTGTAACTTTGAGTTGTGCTTAATTGTGTTCTCATCCATAGTTGAGAACAATCCTTTGTTATATTGTGCTTGTAGTGAGATTCACTTTGTAATACACTTGTACACCGAGTGAGGAGTGTGTGGTGAGAGTCGGGGATCGTCCCAAGAGGAGTGGCGTCGGTTGACGTGCCTAGGGAGAGGTTGTAACCGAGCACTTGAGGGAGACACGGCTAGGTCCAACACTTAGTGGGTGTAGAGTGGGATTACAATAGTGTGTTGATTGTAAAGTTTTCGGTTAGCTAGAAAACCGAGTGTGAGGTGTAAACGTTGTTCGGGTGAACGTAGAAAACCCGGTTGATAGTGGATTTCTCCCCGGGAGTGGGGAGCGGAGACGTAGGACGGAAGATCCGAACTCCGTGATCATCTTTGTGTGTTTGTGATTGTCTTGGCGTCTCACTTGTGCTTATTGTTCATATCATTCTTGTCGCCATTATCTATTGTTCACATTGTCCACTATCTTGTTTATCTTGTTTATGTTTATATCATCCTTAGTTCATATATCCTTGCTCATATATTTGTAATATCTCATTGATAGGATATATTCATTTGTTCATATTGCTTATCCTAGCTTACGTATCTTGTTGTATTTTATACTTGCTAGGATAACTTATTAATTAGTTTTAATTGTCATTTAATCGGATTAGATTAGCATAAGACCCTAATCACCCCCCTCTAGGGTCTAACAATTATAAGGAGGAATAAAACTCTCGAGTGTAAAATTACATTTCTACTTATATTTTCAGCACTAAAAAGGTTTGGAACTGAGTTAAAGGATCTTTCTACATACTAGCATTAACAATTTGATACCCCATTTACGAGAAAATATTCATTTAGAAATAATTGTAATAAACTGTTTTGATTTATATTCTTCTATATATTGAAAAATGAAAATCTAAAAATTGTTGAATGTGAATTAATGAATCAATCTTACATGCAAAATATAATTAAGTCTTACTATATAATCACCCTTTTAATAGAGATATAAGATTTGCAAAAAAAGCGGCGCTCCTTTTGGGTCTTCACTAGTCTGTCACAGATTTGTTTAAACATCTCTATAAATTCCAAATTAGCTTAAAAGGATTCAATGAATAAATTATAAGTGAAATGCTAAACTAGATTATTAACTTTGGCTAAATCTAAAAAATTATACCACGTGCATTGCACGTGCAATTCACCTAGTAGTAGTAATAATAATAATAATAGTAATAGTAATAATAATCTGAAATAGTTTACTAAAAGTATTATACATCATGAAGCGCAGTAGCATTTCATATGCAAAATACAATCAAGTCTGTGGCAGTTGAGTACCAAGAGAAATTTGATTAACTGAGATCCCCTTCTCTAGACCAAGAAAAATAAGAGCTTAATACCAAATTTCAAGGGCTTCATGAACCTGTGTTTAAGGTATTAGGAAGTAAGGATAGCTTCTTCACGAGGTGATCCCTATTTTAACTAATCGGATTAATTTAAAATATTAAGACTGCCGACATGCTAATTGAAAGTTTAATTGGGTAAGTCAATGTTTAACGCGAGGGTTCCTTCAGAAACATCCACGATGATGCTTGGTTGACAAGCAAAAGAAAAACTTTCACCGGTCCTCAAGATTGAACCAGTCAAATCTTCAGTAAAGGTCTATGCGGTTCCCTTGCAACTTTCTCTCTCTCATCTCTCTTATAAATCTCTTGTGAGCAAACAAGAACCGCAACAAGCCTCAAATCCTGATACCAAGACTACCAATGGCGACAGATAAGCCAGCACTCCTAGCAACTGCAGCCTCCATCGCAGCCTCAGCTGTCCTCATTCGTACCCTCACATCTGATCTCCTCCCCTCCTCAATTCAAGAATACCTCTCAGAGAAGTTTGCTTGCATGATCGAGAGCCTGTCCTCAGATCTTACCATCACTGTTGACGAATTCGACGGTGCGGCAACCAACCATATGTACAAGGCCGCTGAGTCCTACCTAGCCACCAAGCTCAACCCATCTACACGCCACATTCGTGTTTCTAAGCAAGAAGAGGACACGGATATCTTCGAAGTAACGATAGACCGTGGCCAAGAAATTATTGATCTCTTCGAAGGAATCAAATTCAGGTGGCGGTCCTCGTCTAGGGATACGAAACCAAGGGTAAACTCGTACAGAGGCCATTACATGGAACCAACTACCATGGAGAGCAAATTCTTCGAGCTGAAATTCCACAAGAAGCACAAGGACACTGCACTTAAATCCTACTTGCCTTTTGTACTATCAAAAGCTAAGGCCGTCAAAGAGGAAGTCAAGACCCTCAAGCTCTGTACAAATGATGATTACGAATGGGACTCTGTGAACCTTCACCATCCTTCTACATTTGAGACGATGGCATTGGATGCTGAGCTCAAGAGGGAGGTAATGGAGGACTTGGCAAGATTTGTAAAGAGGAAGGAGTACTACAAGAGGGTGGGGAAAGCTTGGAAGAGAGGCTACCTATTGTACGGGCCACCGGGAACAGGCAAGTCAAGTTTGGTAGCAGCAATGGCAAACCTTTTAAGGTTTGATATATATAATTTGGAGCTGACAGCGGTGAGGAACAATTCTCAACTACGGTCGTTGCTCGCCCGAGTAGCCAACCGATCAATCTTGGTTGTGGAGGACATTGACTGCGCAGTGAATTTTGAGTCGAGGGATAAAAGGAAACAATTACAGAACCAAGAGGATTCATTCTCAGACTCTGAGGATAGCAAGGTCAGTACTAAGCGCGTGAGCACTTCCCCCCGAAAAACATGTTTTTCAATTTAATTATTAAAAAACCTTGTGCACATCTATTTACAGGGTAAATTGCATAAAACACTCCTGCTCGATAACTTCATTAGCATTTATCAACCCTCAACTCATTTACTAGCACTTATCACCCTTCCTGAATTATTAAGGTAGAGGGCGTTTTATGCAATTTATCCTTCTCAAAATGAAAATCCCAAGGTGGTAAGTGCTACTAAAATTGTGGAATAGTGATAACTACTACTAAATATATAGATGAGCGGAGTTCTCTACAATTTACCTTTTTTTTGTATAAGAAGAGACCAAAATTTTTCCATGTCAAATACTAATTAAGCGGCAAAGTGATCAACTACAGGAAGAAAATTTTGTCACTTCTTTTGAACACGTGTTAACATGGTTGTTTTCTAAAATTAAGACTGAAAACTTGTCCTGTTCAATATGTTTGGTTAGTATTTTCTGGAAAATGCACTTATGTTGTTGAACCTATAGGTGACACTCTCGGGACTGCTCAACTTTGTCGATGGCCTGTGGTCGAGCTGTGGGGATGAACGAATCATCATTTTCACAACAAACTACAAGGACAAGCTTGATCCAGCATTGCTGAGACCTGGGAGGATGGATATGCACGTGCACATGAACTACTGCACTCCCACTGGATTTCGAGTTTTGGTCTCCAATTACCATTCCCTTGATGATCATCAGCTATTTGGAGATATTGAAGGGTTAATCAATGAGGTCGATATTACTCCTGCCGAGGTGGCAGAAGAGATGATGAAGACCGATGATGCTGAAGTCGCACTGCAGGCGCTCCAAAAAGTTCTTAAGGAGAGGAAGAACAAGGAACTGAAAGAAATCAAAGTAGACAAGACAGAGAAAGAGGAAAACAAAGATCACTGAAACTGTCTTGTAAATTGAGAAGATAATAGAATTCAAACTCACAAGATTTGAGCTGAAGATGTTACTCAGAATAAGGGAGGAATTTGAGATACACAACATAGAAGAACTATGAAATCACTATTTGTATGTGTACGCATACGTAGGTGGATATATGCTGGATTAAAGGGTACAGTTGCCCAGTAGTGAACTAAGTTTTCAATGACAATCATTTACTATTTAACGAATGATTACGATTTGACTTCTCAAAAAAAGAGGAGAATGAATGAAGTTTACATGGAATATTGATGGCAAATTATAGTTGGAACACATCATAATTGTCTTATAAAGGATTATTGTGATTTGAAAAGTACTATTTTCATAACAAACAAGAAATGAAGAATTTTCTTTCTTTTTTTTTAAAGTTGAAGAAGGATCCAAATTCTTTAGTCAATACAGCCTGTGTTGGACAAACGGGGCTTGATAGAACAAGGTCGCAGCGAATATTAGTGCAGAAATAATAAAATTAAACATACAGATTTTTATGTGGAAAACCCTTTAAATAAATTTGGGATAAAAAGCACAGGCAAGAGTAGAAGAATGCACAATGAGAAAAATTTTAGAGCTACAATCTCTCTTATACAAGGAGAAACTCTCTCTATTTTTCTCTCACTTTTGTATATATAGTTTGGAGATTGAAATTTTGTTGTTGTGATTATTGTTTCTCTGATCAACTCTATTTATAGGCAGCTGAATCCACCACTTTTACTTTTATATTATTTTTCTTTTCCCTATTTTTAAGAATGGTGCCTAACATTAACTTTCAGTGTGTGGGCACCACACCTTTTTTTTCAATTGCAGTGCCTACCTGTCTCTTTTCAACTATCTTTCACTTGAATATTTGATAGAAAATCAATCATATCTTCATATTATTCTTTCTATCTTGACATTTTTATGTTGTTTACCTTTTTGTCAGACCACAAGAGGATCGACACCAAACAAATTTGTCAATATTGATTGCATTTGTCAGAAAATCTGCAAGGTTGTTTTTAGTGTGAATTTTCTGCACATCCACTATTCATTCTTCCACTTTCTCACAAATAAAGTGATACTGAACTCTAATGTGCTTTGTCTTTGAATGAAAAGATGGATTTTTCGCCAAATATAAAGCACTCTAACTGTCACAAAAAAGAAAAATCTTCTTTTGTTCATGCCCGAGTTCCTCTAATATCATTTTCAGATATATTGTCTATTTACTAGCTTGTGTAGCTGCTACATATTCTGCTTCTGTTGTAGATGTAGTCACAACTGACTGTAGTTTTAAAACCCAGTTTACAGCTCCGCAAGCAAGTGCAAACATATAGCCTGTGGTAGATTTGATTTTATCACGATCACCTGCATAATCAAAATCAACATATCCACTAGTAATAAAATCTGATCCCTCATAACATAATGCAACATTTGAGGTCTCCTTAATGTATCTTAGGATCTTCTTTACAGCATGCCAATGCTCTTTACCTGTATTCACCATGCATCGACTAACTACTCCATTGCTTGTGCAATATCTGCTCTCATACGAAGCATATCAAACATTAAACTTCCCACTACTGATGCATACAGTATTCGAGATATCTCCATCCTCTTTTCTTTACTGTTAGGACTCATACTGGAGGATAACATGAAATTAATAAGAAGTATGGTAGAAATTGACTTACAATCTTGTATTTTGAAGCGCCACAAGATTTTTTTTCAAATAATTTTTCTAAGAAAGCTAAATCTTTCTATTAATTCTGTTTCGGTAAATTTACATCCCTAGAATTTTGTTCATAGATCTTTATTCCTTCATTTTAAATTCTCTAGCCAATTTTTTGATATGATCTTTGTTGGGGACTGTAATCAACATGTTGTCAACATAAAATAATAAGATTAAAAACTGTTATTTTTACCATATCTCTTGAAATATGCAAAAAGGTCTAAATTAAGTCTGTTGTATCTAGGACTAATGATGAATGAATCAAATCCCTTGTACTAACACCTCAGCACTTGTTTTAGACTGTAAAGAGATCTGTTTAACCTGCAAATCAAGTTCTCCTTTTCTTTTTCTTCAAAACCTTCTGGTCATAGCATATAAATTTTTTCTTCACAATCTTTATGAAGAAATGTTGTTTTCGTATCTAGCTGCTTTAGATGTAAGTCAAATATAGCGTTCATAGCTAAGACTACTTGGACTGTTGTAAGCCGAACTACATAAGAAAATATTTCATTAAACTCACTACCTTCTTTCTATCTTTTTACCACCAACCTAGCACGATATCGCTCCACTTGATCATCGCTATTTCGCTTGGTCTTATAGACCCATTTATTTTTAATAGTCTTTTTTCCTTGTGGTAGTGATACGTACCCAGGTTTTATCCTTATGGATAACTTTAATTTCTTCATGCGTTGCTGTCATTCACAAATATACATTTATGCTATTTATAGCCTCATGGAAAGTTGATGGCTCTTCATTCTCTGTTAGAAAACAGTATGCCATATTACTCTCCGCAATATACTCAGAGTGTCAAGTCGGTAGTCTTTTCTCACGAGTTGACATTCAAACTTCTAGAGCCTCGGACACGACTAGTTTTTGTACATCATGCTCGGGTTTGCTGCAGAAGAATATGGATTATTTTTTTACCTGAACAATTATAGTCTTTGAGTCCTTCCTTGAACTATTTTCTTTCTCTTCTCTTTGTAGTTGATTTTCTACAAAGATAACATCTTTGTTGACTATGACCTTGCAGATTGTGAGATCCCACAAGCGATACCCCTTTACTTCGTCAGCTTACCCTAAGAATATATATTTTCTAGATTTTAAATCCAGCTTTGTAATTTCTAAGGTATCATGTTCATTACATACACTAGACTTTCAAATATATGGAGGTTTGAATAATCAACTAGCTTGCCAATCCACATCTCCATGGTATCTTTAACTCAACTGTAGTCGATGGAGATAGATTCACCACATAACAAGCAATTTTTACTGCTTCTACCCAAAAAATTTATCCAGATCTGCAGTTATCAACATTGCTCCTATTCTTTCCAACATAGTTCTATTCCTCTACTCTGCTACTCCATTTTGTTGAGGAGTATATGTAGTAATTGATTGTCTTTTGGTTCATTCTTACTTACAGAATGTAAGAAATTTACCATTTGTGTATTCTCCTCCATTATCTATCTTCAAGCACTTGATCTTCTTTACAGATTCAAGTTCGATTCACACTTTATAAGCTTTAAAGAATGGGAACACATCTGCCTTCTTCTTAATAGGGTACACCCATCTTATGGAGTAATCATGAATAAAAGATATAAAGTACTTTACTCCTCTCATGGATGTAATTAGTGTTTGCCATACATTAAAATAAACCAGTTTTAAAATAGCCTTGCTTCTAGAACTTGATGTGTTAAACTTCAGCTGATACTGTTTACTTGTAACACAATACTCACAAAAGGAAAAGCTACCGATTTGAGCCCAAGAAGCAACTTCTAGTCGGAAAGAATCTTCAAGCTTTGTTCTAACATGCTTCCTAGTTTAGGGTGTCACATCATAATTTGGTCTTCTCCATGGCTATTTGATGCCATACATGAATCAGCTTCTTACATGATTTCTTCCTTAAGAACGTATAAATTTACATCTATCTTTTCTCATTTATTATAACATGGGCCCCTCTAATAATTTTCATGATCCCATTTTCTATATGGATCTTGCATCCAAGCTCATTCAATTGTCCTAAAGATAATATATTCTTCTTCAAACCTTTCATGTATCATACTTCTTAAATAGTGCATATTGTACCATCAAACATTTTGATTTTGATAGTATCAATACCAGAAATTTTCAAGGCATGATTATTACTCATAAATATAGATTCTCCTGAGATAGATTTATATTTATGAAAATATTCTCTCGAGGAGGTCATATGCCAGGAGGCTACTGAATCTAGATGCCAAGCATTAAAAAATCTCTTTCTGCCTTCATCAACAATTGTTACTTCACTGTATAAAATTTCATCAACGTCTAATGTGCTTACAATGCATCCTTGAGATATTGATGGCTTTGAAAAAATTTTATCACAACTTTTCTTATTGTGTCAACAATCCGATTTCACGTGCCCCTTTTTACCACAACTATAGCATTTGATATTCTTCTTACTTTTTACCACAACTTTTATTGTGAGAAATTACTCATATTAATTTCTCAATTTTAAACTTCGTCGTCATTGCTTCTATCTCGAGCTGTAACTTTTACTATTTCACGTAAATAGTAAATATACTTGTGAATAGTAATAGTGCTCATAAATAATAACTGTGTTTCTGAATAGCACCGTACTCATGAATAGTGCCCAGTGCCTTCAAAGGGTAAATGATAATCTAACTTCTTTTTTAATGTAGAGGAACCACTTTTACTGGTAGCAACGGAGCATACGATAAGTAGATACACATACTTTAAGCCAGTCTTTGATATCACTTGTTGGACAAATAGGACCCGATAGAGCAGGGTCGCAGCGAATATTGGTGCGAAAATAATAAAATTGAACACAAATTTTTTATGTAAAAAACCCCCTAAATAAAATTTGAAGTAAAACTATGTGTAAAGATAGAAGAATCCACTATGAGGAAAATTTTTAGAGTTACATTCTATCTCTAAATGTCAAAAACTCAAATGCTAATATTCTAATTATTTCTCTGTATGTGGATGAGCATCTTCTAGATGAGGGCGACAACGTCAGTTTTGACGAAAGAACGGAGGAGACTTCAAGTGCAGAGATGACTACCCAGGGCATGGAACTTATGAGGTCATCCAGGGTACCCAAACCGAATCCCAGATATCTTTCGTCACTAGATTATTTGCTTTTGACAGATAGCGGAGAACCATAGTGCTATGAGGAAGCTATGCAAGTTAGTAAATCTTAGCAGTGGGAGCATGCAATGTAAGAAGAGATAGATTCTCTACACACTAATGAGACATGTGAGTTAGCCCAACTACCTACATAGAAAAAAACTTTACATAACAAATAAGTCTATCGGGTCAAGCAGGAGAGTGGTGGAAGCAAGAGGTACACGGCCAGATTAGTCGTAAAGGGTTTTCAACAGCAAGAATGAGTGGATTATACGAAGATATTTTCCCCCGTTGTGAAGCTTATAACTATTAGAGTAGTGTTGAGCTTAGTAGCTATAGAATACCTCTACCTTGAGCAGTTAGATATGAAGAATGCATTTCTTCATGGTGATTTGGATGAAGAAATCTAGATGAAACAACTTCTTG